TTTCTCATTACGACTGGAAACAGAGAGAATGAGTCGTCAGGTAACAATAGGTAAGTATGAAGCTCACAAAAACCATGATCATGCGAAAATCTTGTTAATTCACAGTAGACATCTTAATGTTCGATATCATTGCTTTCGGTTTTCTCAGTTACCTTCTAATGATTGTGTCATATGCTGGCAAGGTGAGTCGTGAGTGTGAACGATGCAAAGTCAAGGAAGTGACTGCCGGCCATTTTAAATGTTCCATGTTTATTTGTGATCCGAAAAACGCCGAAAATTTTGGTATCCTAACAAGACTTTTGTAACGTGTCGAACAAGATAGAAAAATGGCACTGCAGATGGTGACACTGAATGCCAACGCTTGATCAGTTCTAAGCATGACGCAGATATGGTACAGCGAAAGTCCAGCCGTCTGATTGGGGTTCAGTCAAGGCAGTGAAACCTACCCGCTCTACAGCCAAGCACATGCAACGTAAGTTAAAACCGTCAGGTAAACCTCCTTCAGTTTGCTGGCATTGTGGTTCTCGGTATTTTGTCAAATTCTGTCGATTCAAAAAGGAAAAGTGCCAATGGTCACATCGCTTTGACAACAAAGAGAGTTACTGCCCTATAAATAAAAATGCTCCCGTCAAGACTGAACGTCCGTTTGTCAAACGCGACTCATTCAGCCAAATTCAAGGCATTTTCACGACTTTGAAAGCTGATGTCGGGGGCAGAAGGAGATATGTTAATCTAACTGTTAATGGCAAACGTATTCATCTGCAGCTGGATACAGCATCTGATTTCACCTTAATCTCTCGAAACACATGGCGCACACTTGGGAGCCCACAGAACCAGCCAACTGAACTTATTGCTAAAAACGCTTCTGGAGATATCGTGAGACTCATTGGTGAGATGAGTTGCCATATTCAATTTAGTGAGCTTGAACTCAATGACGTATGTAACCTGACAAATCGCCATAGCCTAGACGTACTTGGGTTAGATTCATAAACTTGATACTTTGGATGTTCTATTAAATTCAATATGTTCTGATAGGTCACCCACACTTAATGGCGTTTCGTTTATATGCAAGATAGGTCTCAACGGGAAACTGGAGTCAGAAGTATGGGTCATTCCGCGCCGCAGACGGTGAGATGAAGAAGTGGGAAGGGACGACAAGAAAATTTTTTGAATGCTTTGCTTTCTCACCGCATGCAGGCAAAAATCTTCAGCCCCGAGCCAGCTGTCCCCTGCAGAGGACCTAATCCCTACCAAGTTGTCTCTAAAAAGAAATCATACACCCTTGCGGAGTAAGGTGACATGTAGCGACAAAGAGGCAGTCAGTAAAGTTGTCTTCAGATCGTGATTTATGCATACACTGACATAGTTACCTGATTTGACGTCACACAACAAATCGGATTGGTTCATTCATGGCTTCATTTTCTGAGTTTTGTAAATACACATATATCATGTATTCGTCTGACAAAGTTGTTGCCGTTCTGCAGCCACAGGCTGGCATTTTACTTCTGATTTCCGTGGCTCAGTGAGGTATAGGGTGTGGGGGGATACAGTCATATTACCCGTATCCAGTCCAAGTATCTCGTTCGCGTATTATTAGAACCTACGTAACATACACCAACCCACAGTCATATCAGTGTGGAAGCGTGATATAAAGCTTGGCGGGAGATGGCCCTATTCATCCATGGCCAAACAGAGAAACAACCTTCAAAGTTTTATATAGAAACAGTCAGGGATGTATCGTGCTCATCATTCCCAATTTTAATACCGTTTCGGTTTAATCGTTATAACTTACCTCCCACCTTTCAGTTTAATATAAATTAATAAGTAAAAGTGTAGCCAGATAGCTGCAGACGTACTGAGTCAGTAAATGACAATATTCCGATAAACCTTGTCCCTCAATTACGCCACCAACATTCATGAAAGGAACCAATTACTTCAAAGGTGCATACGGGCAGAAACAATTTGAAAACGAAGCTCAGTGGAAATCTCCAAGTTTCAGAAGACGTTGAAGTGTGAACACATCTATACTACTTGCACCAGTGTGACCGACTTCCAGCCATTCCACCAAGTGTCCTCAACCATTCACTCGTATGGTCTCCGAGACCCCAACCACACACTACACCTCCCTACACGCTAATCACAGCACTCAAACACACGCAAACGTGTAGGCGCCTGTGCACACCTGTTACTTCAACTGATGACAATCACGCGTACCTCTGACTTCACATGGATTGATTTGCTCCCTGGAGGGCATCTGGTTGACTTGCACTACACGAACGCCAGTCCTATCCCACAGACACGCTGACAAAGTCAAGGGTCTTCGGAACACTTTGACAACTAGTATCAGCATGCTTGACATGCATTTTCCACCTCTCAAATTTAGGGTGGTGCTTCACTACTGGTCTCCAACCACTCCCAGTTGAAAAATACGCAGCTGTTTTGAACGGAGTTGCTTTGGAAACAATTAAAATAAGTCCCCTGATCACACTTATCCTTGACTAGGCAATCACTACCGCCAAAGATATGGCATAAATGAAGTCAAAGAGACTTTCGGCGTCCGACAATGGCTAGTATTAGAGGAAACCGATGGAGGACACAACGTATAGATGCTACAATGTAAAACTCACAGCAAGTTCCATTTTCAAGACCGATATCAAATATTGCCTGCCTCGCCTTTTCCTTTGAAAAAGGCAACTGAGTATCCCTAGGTCTCATGTTACAAGAATTTTGTAATTCAGAAGCTCCCAACGCCCTTTAGAGTTGCCATTTGAAAGTCCTTTCCTCCCGGAGCCGAAACTCAACGTTATTTGTTATTGTTGTCCAACCTACACAACTGAACACTCCGTCACCCAACCAAACTTATCAGCTGCGTCAACAACCCTCAGCATTACCCATTATAAAAGAGTTACATAGACCACATGTAACCTATGCAATGGTGCTGGAAAGTCTGTCAAAAATGAGCAGGATGCTATGACGTTCGTCTGTAACTTGTCTGTGTGAGAGCACCCAACGTAGCCCGCTATGTAACCTATTTCAGAGCCTCTTAGACAGACACAAGCTCCTACGTGAATCCAAACGTTCTGTTCTCTCCCTGGTTTCTCAGTGAGGTAACAGGCGGAGGCAGATATTTTCATCGACCTACAGCACCCCTGTCAGTGTTCTGAAAAGCAGTGAGAAGCTTGATACGCGACCAGTGAGCTGAATATGAGGTCCAAATTAGTATTATATGATTCTTAGCTTGGCTTCTGAAGGAGTAGGTCCTGAAGAGCCTGGGACAACAGAGTTCCCCTGATCTCCAGGCTCCTGTTGCAGCAATTTTTCTAGATTTGGCAAGGCCTCAGACTCAATGTCACCCAGGTCAGGAAACACCACTGTCCGTCTTACTACACAGAGCAACTCTAGTTCTGTTGCTCCCCTTAGCTTTGTGATGGACTATCGTCCAGTTTTAGCTCTATTTCACACTGACGACGTTATGCCATGAAGAGCTGTGAAATCCAAATGTAATCGGGTACACCAGAAGGTGATCTCAAGATGTTTGAAGTGTGAGTGAAAAGCAGTAAACTGGCACTGAAACTAGATGAATTCCGCACTTCCGGCTCGCAGAAAGTTTCCTGCTCTTCTTGTCATGTTCACCTTTTACGCACGACCATGGGGAAAGTCCTCGAACTAATGCTAAACTAAAAAACTGGGCACTGGTTCCAGTTATCCAGGAGACGTCTTCAGTGGTTATGAAGTGTTATACTCCATCCTCAGAAAACTACTTACCCTAGCCCTGAAGCTTCCTTTGAAGCCCTACAAGAAACACATACAACCTCATTCAGAGGTACACACCTTCTATGTACAGCTACACGGGGGAAGAGACTGCAGCCTGTAGCAGAAATTTCAAGACAAAACTGAAAATGGTGCTTTAGGGATGTGAGACAGCTAACAAGAGGATAGGCTGAAGGGCGCAGGCCTTCGCTGTCTTACTTATCGTAGGTTAAGTGGTGCATTGACAATGACTCATGAGATGCTAACTAATCCAAGTCACCAGATGTGTTGAATTTTGTAGAATGGTCACTGTGGCAATCCTCTCGGAAATCCAAAGGGAATCGCCAATCAAAAGGTGAAACGTGTGTGTCTTCACGCACCCCAAACACACACTGCTCGGAGCCATTCACTTAAGTTGCGAACTATACCGAAGCAACCAAGTCACTCCAATGCAGTTACCTTCATAGTGATTTTTTTGCATTGCCAACATCATCAAGGGCCCGACCCAGTCTCATATCTACTTTTAGGGTGTTTTGTCTCTCCGATTATCTCACCCCTATTAATTTCGTCACCTCTCTTTCCACCTGCCTTCCTCCTTCCTTCCACATGACTCTCAGTGGTCCTCCCCTATTCATAGGAGCTCTTCACGTGACTGTTTTATTTCTCATCTTAATCAAACTTACCCGTGTTCTTCTTATCTTTCCCCCTGTTTTCTCACAATTCTGCAGAATCCACTCCGTCATCGCTTCACTCTCCTTATCTCCTTTTTACGATCGGTTAGAACAGCCACCTAGTGACACGGTATTCGAGGGACCCATCTGCATCCTTCCTGAATTTGTTACGGCCCCTTCCTTGATACCTTCAGCAGGAGGTTAAATGCATATTTAGAGTCTCGTGGTACCCATGGGCTGTACTTGTGAAGCTTCCTGCCACCTACAGAGTAAGCTTTCAGGTTTTTCGGACCCAGAAAAACAACTGTAACCATTTTGAACCAGCAACGTGTCCCATCAAAACAGACCCAATCTCAAGGAACCTCTGCTCACCAAGTCCACAACACAAATTTTGAAGCCTGAAAGCATACAATTCGATAAAAACGTAACCAACACACAAACATCCTTTGGATGTACCACAGCTGTATCACGCGTGTATTTAATCCACTGGAATGCACGAAAAGACCAAAACCTTTATGAAAAACTCAGAAAAGTAAGCGAAGAAATCAACTGCCTCAAACAACATAGTAAAACAGAATTGGACATGCTAGATGTGGCCTTCAGCTTGTAGTAAGGTTTAAAAAAAAGAACGTGAGATGGCTGAGATTTTTTACAACAATAGGAGAGTTGATGGTCGAAGGCCTAATGAGTTAAGACGCGTGCAATGCCAGTTTGGTGTTGGCAATTCTGATGGAATTGTATTCTTAAACCAGGGTAACCATACCTATCCAACCTTAAAGACATTATTTACAGGAAACACCAAAGTAATTGCCTCAGTAGTTGGACCCCATGCTCCTCGAACAAAAGGAGATGGGAATCCAGATGCTGCGACTATTATATGTCAATTTACCAAGCCTCCATTCGCCTCAACGTCTGGCGAACGCCGCAAACTCTCATCAAGGGATAGGTCAGCGAATGACTACGCAACCGCTATTGAGGTAAAAATAATGCGTCGCTGACCTTTGAAATATGCTTGATTCTCTTTCAGTTTGACGTTTTAACATACAACTTGTTATTCCTAGCGCCACCTGATTGACATTTTTCGATAGCTGAAATAAAATTAGGATTGGTTATTTTCCTAAACCGAGACTATTGACCGATACACACCAGCGACAGGGTGGGTTAGATTAACATTGAATTGACACTAAATTGACATGGAGTTCGGATGCTGGGAGCTCCTACATGAAATCGATGGCAGAATCTTAGAAGACTAGGAATAAAATGTCGATGGTTTTGACCGTTGGCAGTGGTTGCTGGAGGAGAGGTTCGGGAAGGCATAATAGGCTTATCACTAGTATCAAGAGGTGAAGGCAATGAAGGAGGCAGAGTTGGGAAGGATAGATTGTTTGATTGGGTCTTGTGTATTACTGGAAGCGTGCGGACGGTTGACACTGGCAGCCCACCCTGTTGGAGGCTATTTTTTCTTATGGTATCCAAGAGAGATGTGTGATTGCACAGCACATTGGTCATCTGTGTCTCACATGTTCTTTTATGTTGTATTGTTTTGAGGTTTGGTTGTTCTGACGCCGAATAGGGAGTGCACATACCCCTGACTTGTGGATCGTGGACCAGGAGAAGCGTAAGATTTTTGGGTTTGACGTTTATAACCTTCACGTTGAGAAGGCAGCATCAGTGTGACACTCCTGACCATCAAAGGGAAACACTTTACTGCTCTCTGATCCCATCCAGCCAGCAGCAGTATAACTTCACCCTCAGACATCTACCATAGTGTTGTAATTTACGCTACAACGGTATCTGTTTTTCGTCTTGCCACTATCCAACAGATCTTTCTTGAATAGCAGACCTCGAGGGGATAAGCATCCCACCATCGGCTCGTTGGGTAACTGTAATATGCAAGCTCGACCACCTCCTCAAGGTAGCAGCTAACAGACTGGTTGCCGACGAAATCTCAGCTCGGATACAAAATGCCTGTTTGGCATTTGCCTGTCGTGGTCACATCTCCTACCCACTGGTGGGATATCCTACCACCTGTTAAAGGACAAATATTCTGCTCTGCAGTCCGTCCTCACTCCCATTGTCTGACTGAAACATGCTAGTTCAAAATCGAAGATATAAAGAGATCTCAGGTTTGTTACCAGTTTCGGGGTTGGGCGAAACGTACTAGACAAGAAAAGGAAGTAGGTCGATGAAGGTCGGTGATCGAGGTTGCTTGAGTACAACATATCATCAAGCCAGCACTTAACCTGCAATGCGAGAAGTTGGTTTAGCTTACACGGCTAAGGTTTGCCAGACCAAAAAGTGACACCAGTGCATGAAGTCTTTGACTGTTGATCTGAAGTGTTTATGGACGTTAAGCTTGCCTGGTTGGATTCCTGAGGCATTAGGACCCAGTGGTTGAGGACTCTTTGTAAAGTGGCTGAGAATTGGTCTCAGTGTAACAGCTGCATTCACTCTTCGACGTCTTCTAGAGCTTGAATGTTTGGCTAACCATTTTTAAATTCCTCCCATACACTTTTGTCACTTTGATATGAGTCTTTTTCTGTTCACTTGTTTTTTGTGCGCTACTGTGAAGTATGGCAAATTGAGTGTATGCACTTGTGTGCAAGGTTTTTTAGTGATCTTATCTGTATATTACGTGGTATTTTAAAAGTCCACGTACTGAACTTATAAGAAATAAGTTATTGAGTTGTTCTTTATATAGAATTTAAATGATAATGGGTAGAATAGTACTGACTAATAGATTTATTCATCCCATGTTATTTGGTGATGCTACTTTCGCATATTATGAGCGCATAGCAGGAAACAGAAGCAGATTTTCTGTCAGTGACCTCACGTTTATTGGAGGTGTTACAAATCAACAAATTCTGACTCCATGTACACAAATGTTTTTCGAGAGTTCAGATCAGGATCTTTAATATTAAACTGTTGCAAAAAATTAAGGTTTCGTGTGATTTCTGAGAATAACCCCATAATTCAGTAGGGATTCAGGCAATGTGAATTCACTCAGAGCGTTACGACTAATGTCATCGAAAGCCCTGTGGTAAACAATTTATTTGTCAGATTGCAATGTCTTATGGTTCATGAGGCTGAATAGAAACCTGAACAAATACCAGTTAACAGCTACCTTAGCATATGTTAGATAATCACTGCACAGTTTGTGAAAATTAGCAGTAAAACTTGTTTTCTTTCTGGTTTTTAAAATGCATTTACAAGCACTTAAGTGAGCCATGTGTTATCTCATTACTAGGTTACAGGTTCTAGAATCCCCTTTCAGTATTCTTCATATTCTGGAAGAGCACCAAGTGAAATTCTCAGTAACTGAGATGTTATAACCGATAACAATTTATTCACGCTTTAGCGTGAATAAATACAGTGTTGAAAAAATTACGAATAAATCATTAAAATTCCAACTCACTCTGCACTAGTTTTTTTCAACTCCCAATAAGTTTTATTGTGTACAGGTTTAACGACTATTATTACTTTACATATCCACAGGAAATATTTTCATGCGTTGTCAGAACTGAAAAGTATCCAATGTCGCAAATAGATGTTTTCCTTGAAATTATTCAATCAGATGGCTCCGAGTTTGCTTGTGCTGTAAATGCAACTACTCTTGCTTTAACCGATGCCGGTATTGAAATGCATTATCTCGTCACTGCAGCCACAGTTGGTAAGTAAGTATTCACGGTGACAGTTTATTTGAAATGTATATCCATCTCTCAACAAAGTAGTGTTTCAGTCAGTTTTAGACAAATAGTTATCAAAATGAATTGCTTTGAAAACTTATTTCCCAGTTAGTAGCGTAGTGCTTACCAGCAAATTTGAAAACATGTGAATCGACTAAACCCAGGTAAAAATAAAGTGAAGCTAGTTTGTTCAAATCCGTCACTGATAGTAAGTGTGATTTGGATAACCTACTGGAACATCCTTTTTACATTTCCATAGATCTTACATGTTGTTAGGAATAAAATGTAATGAGAATTGTGCGACCAAGTGTAAAGCTAGTGACCTCTAGAATTTTTCTTGATTACCCTTCCATTTCTTATATGTCTTATGTTAAAGACCTGCATCTAAGTTACGTATTGTTGTGCTCTTTTGAAACGGGCCGAGTGTTTTTTAGATTTTAATAAGTTTTAGAAGGAAGTTCTGTAAAGCGAGTTGCGGAAAAATCTCCTCTGCTATCGACTTTAAGTCATATCAACATCAACTAACTATTTAGTTTGTCATATATAGCTCATTTAGGCGGCCTACATTTCTCTACACACCTCATTCCAAGCAATCAAAGACTGCATACGATACCACCATATGTTGTTCTGAACATTCATTACCCACGATGTTGGGGAGCCAGAGTGTCAACCGTCCGCACGCTTCAGTAATACACAAGACCCAATCAAACAATCTATCCTTCCCAACTCTGCCTCCTTCATTGCCTTCACCTCTTGATACTAGTGATAAGCCTATTATGCCTTCCCGAACCTCTCCTCCAGCAACCACTGCCAACGGTCAAAACCATCGACATTTTATTCCTAGTCTTCTAAGATTCTGCCATCGATTTCATGTAGGAGCTCCCAGCGTCCAAACTCTATGTCAAGTCGGAACTCTGAAACTTTGAGCGGTCGATGTATCAGACACGTATACAGGATTTGATTGTGGTTATTCCCTTGACCTTACCTGACCATAGTAGTGAATCCTCAAAATTCAACTTAAGGGTATCTGGAGACCTAATGGCTAGCTCTCATGGACTTCATGGTGTAAGCTTAGCGTTGAGTTATGGAGCAGAAAGTGTGCTAGACTGGATTCCAGTCAACAGCCGTCTATGTGCTGTTCGACTAAATGAATCTATAAGAACTAGGAAAGATCGGGAGAGTAGGCGAAGCCTATTCATAATCCCTGCCTACGCCCGCATCGAATATAGTTCGGACGATGCAAAGGATAAATTCTATGAAAAGCTGTCAACTTTGCCTCAGGAGGCAAAACGTCCAGATGTAGTCATAATGGCAGGTGGCTTAATGCTCAAGTAGGGAGGCTGAGACAATCAAAGAAGCATCTTGGGGGTACTTAAGGAATCCTATGACGACGGACTGTTGCAGTTTTGCTCCGACAACCAATTGTTTCTGGACAGCACTAACTTTAAGCGTAAGGAGAGACACTGTCTCACATGGCGTCCGCCGACATCAAACCAATGGTGGACACAGATAGATCGCATTGTTGGAGAGAATCGGTGGAGGATTGCCGCTCTTTCTGGAGCGCTAGTTTGAACTCTGATCATGTGCTAGTAAGAGCTCGCACACGTCTGCGCCTAAATAGTCATGGGAAACAGGCGATAGTAAGGCCTTCCTATGCTCGATTAGTAGATGACGCTGAATACATATGTAGGGAGGAGTTAGCTACGCATTTATCTGAGCATGACAGCAACGCTCATGTTGAGGAGACCTGGCGTCATTCTGAGTCCACTGTAGAAACAGCGGTAAGGACATTTGGCAACCTACACTGGAAGGTTAGTAAACGTCACTGGATTTCTGCAACGTCATCCGAACTGATTGGTGCAAGAAGACTGATCCCAGATGGGTCTGAGCTCGATAAAGAGCGAAAGCAACTCAAACAAATTGACCAGGAGTCTTCGCATCGACCGTGATCAGTGTTGGGTGACGAAAGTAAGAGATGAAGAAGGCATCGGTGGTGAGTAACACCCCATAATTATTTAAGGATACCGACAAGAAGACTATGGTTAGTGAAACTATCAACGTGAAAGATGGTAGGCCTGGTAACCTTCCAGGACAGATGGCCACGACGTTGGACAGAACATTTGAAGCACAGTTCAACTGGCCTTCAGTAACGCTTCAGTTGCCCAAAAACAGTCTGAACCTGAATGGGACGTGGATGCCGGTCTCCTGGCTCTTTTTGAAGTTGAGAAGTCTGTATGGAGCCTGAAACAGTGCAAAGAAGCAAACCTAACCATTTACCACTAAATGTTTTATGGATGCGAGTTGTACATTACTGAGCATAGTAATCGAATAGTAGGCAGTATACGAGAATCAGAGGTGGTTCCGTCAGACCTATCTACTTCTCTGGTCATCCCAGTCGATAATAAAGAAGAAAAATCTCCTCGTGATAATCATAGGACGAGCAGTTTAATGAATATTGTACCTGGGATCCATCATTATCCGACGCCTAACTGGAGCTCGACAACAGCAAACTCTAGAATCTAGGCCGGTTTCAGACCTAAATGAGAGTGCATTGATCATATTTCCACCTTCCGACAAATTCTGGAACACGAACATACTTGCCGGCGACCGACACTTGCCATATTTCTTGACATGAAAGCGGCATTTGACTCCGTCGATCTTGAGGTGGCCTCTATTTGCAAAAGGAATACCAAGCAAGCACTTGCGCTAATCAAAGCTTTTTACTCGAACTCAAACATCCGCGTTTGGGTTAATGGAGAGTTGTAATGTGAATTGGCGACAATTAGTGGTGTCCGTTAGGAATACCCACTGTCATCGTTCCTATTTAACTTCATAGATGTACTACTAATAGACATAGTCTTAGGTTTTTCTGACTTCACAGGGATTGACCTATTCCATGGAGGTCATCTGGTTGACTTGGAGTATGAAGACGATATTGTCCTGCTAGGTGAAGACGCTAGCAAAATTAAGGGCCTCCTAAAGGCGTTGAGTGGAAATTTGAGTGTCTGAAATGTGTTTCGTTTTCAGGTGACAAATGTAAGGTGACGCTTCAGGACTGGTCTTCGACCACTCCCAGTTTAATGATAGGGAGTGAAGTTTTAGAATGTGTGGATCACTTCACTTACATGTGGAGTTGCATTAATTCGAACGGGCTGGTTACTGACGAAATTTCAGCTCAGATACAGAAAGACCGTTTGGCGTTTGCCAACTTACGTCATCTGTGGGGCCGGTGACATATCTGACTATCTATCAAGAAACGAGTATACTACACTGCAGTTCTTTCTGTTATCCAGCTGTGAGACGTGGCCGTTGAAAGTAGAAGACATTAGGCTATTACGGGGTTTCGATCACAGATTTCTTCGTAGCATAGCTCGCCTTGGATGAAATCATCGCGTGAGCAATGTTGAAGTCAGGCGAAAAATGCTAGGTAAGATAGTCAAGTCGGCTGATGAGGTTGCGAACCTTCATCGTCTGATGTGGCTTGGACATGTGTTGCGCATGTCGAGTCACCGCTCAGCTAGATGTGTCATGCTTGGAGAGGTTGAATTACGTTAGAAGAGGGTTCCGAGTAGCCAAGCCAAGACGTGGTGCCAGTCGACAAAGTCCTCAATTGTTTATATGAGTTATGTTGGGAGATGTAGGCTACCTGGCTGGGGTCCCCAAGACAATAGGAGTCAGTGTTTGGGAAGCCTTGGTGACATGAGTGAAAATTGGTCGCAGTGGCGGAAATGTACTCACTTTTTGGTGTCTTGGAAATCTTGAATATTTGCACCAACCTCTATATTCATATAGCCTATTCTCTCACACGACTTTGTCCGCTTTTATACCACTATCTGTTTTGTATACCACTATGATGTGTGGTGACTTGAACGTACGCACTTGTGTGCGAGGTTCTACGTTGATTGTTTCTGTGTCTGGTGGTAAACCGTCAGGTTCTGGTGCTTTAAATCATCTCACTTTTGGAACAGCCTTCTCAACCTCGAGGTTTGTTGGAGAACTGAGACCAACGTTCCATCCGGCTTCAGGTCAAATGCTTGGAATCGGAGCATTGTCATAGGTCATTGGAACTGTTTATTCTTCCGCCTAACGTTCCAGCTACCGTGAGGTAATCAACCTCCTAAACACTTCAGTGATATTTTCACCAACCATTGTTTCCTTGCCAGTATACTTAAAAGGCCTAAGTAGTTACCCGGTATTAACTTGTACTGATGCCTTGTCCATTTCGGCGCCCACCACTGTTTATAATCATTGCAAAGACTCGTAGTCAATTAACGTTTAAGTTGCTTTCGCTCTTCATCGTTGTTAGTCAGTTGGAATGAGTCTCCACGCATCCATCAGTTCAGATAATGCTTCCAAAATCCATTAACGATTGCTAGCCTACAGATGGATGCTACCAACTGTCTTTACAGCTTTTTCTACAGGATGACCAGTCATGTTGCAATAAACAGCTATTTCCTCTCCAAATGCGCATTCGAAGTTCTTATCTCCCATTGAGCACTCCCCTCTCCTTTTTGCGTCCGCTAATGTGCAAATATACACATTTCTGTCGTAACACGTGATTAAAGTCCAAGTAGGTATAGCAGTGTCGGTGAACGCCGAGCGAGAGAGAAACAATAACATTCCGATCACAAACTAAAACACTCTAAAGCAAGACACCACATATGTACAAACTTTATGATATACTCAGGTTAAAAATGTCCCCCTGGAAGCATTGACTCAGGACGAGGAATGACTACTAACAATCGAAGTGATCACAGACAATCGGAATAGTTAGTCATGGATGTATTGATTTACTGCAGTGCAAAATCTCAGTATATTGAAGGTATACTATACTCTAGTTTACTCACCTAGTGGCATTTGAATGATAATACACGATTGTACATATGATCAGCAGATATTGATTGTGCAGAGTGAGGTTGCTTAATCAATGTACAACCTGTCATAAAGGTACATTACTCGACTGTCATGCAAACATGTTCTTTTCATGGGGTATGCATCTTTGTACTACCACAACCATTAAACGCACACACACTCAACAGAGTTGAACGTACCTGGATTTATTATCGAGATGGACCAATTCACTGATGACTGACTGTTTGTCATATTTTATGAAGTTCAAGAAGTGACTCATCACAGTACCAAGTTGTTACATCACGTAACCCAGTTAATTTGCTACCATTGGTCTAAGCACTCAAGCCAACTAGTCTGTAGCTAGATGCTGATGAATGCAGTTATGATAAGGTCAAATGGGTAGCAAAATCAGTTGGATATCATCTATTCCGTTTTGTTTCGAACACTCAACGTGATATGCGGAGGTCAGGGATAATGGTTCCTTTGAGGCTAAGAACAGAACATTTTCCAGTAGGGATACAAACTAAAAGAAGCCTTTATTTTGCTTAAGATATTCCAAAAGCAAAGGAGTAGGTAGTAGTGTGTCAGTTAAAATTCTTTACGAATAATCCTTGAGGCATATGCACAGTCACACACACAGGCTGAGGTAATAGTGCAAAACGTTTGGAAATAGTTATAACAGTTGGTAAGTTCTTGATGGCTTATAGGCGATAGATAGTTTATTGGAGGCCTAAATAAGTAGGTTATCTTTAGTTCACGGACTCAATACAATCGATGGCTCAATATTAATCAGAATATACCAGAACTGCCGTTCTCCGGAAAGAATGAATACATTTAGTAGTGTGGCATGATTCGTTAACTTTTTATTTGGTTATGGTGTACTTTATAGTTATATGAAATTGTTTCAACTTTTGTTATAAACAGGTTTGTGGGGTTCACATGTATTTGCTGACCTCTGTCGCTTCGAGGAAAATCCACGTCTATCTCAATTAACCGTTGTTTGTCTTCCTGACCTTCATCAGCGTTTTGATGTAGATTCAGACGACCCAACAAGCAAGCCGAAAATCCAACCTCAAATTCTTCATACACGCCTTTCTTCTTGGTTACCGGTTGAGAAACTACAACCACTTATCACAGAAGCTGTAGAAGTAGCTCAAACTCTCCACAAAGAATTCTCATATTGGTTACGCGGTCGGGTCCGAAGTGGTCTTACGACCAGATGAACGACTTTCTTGAGTGTTTTATCTGCATAAATGTTTTCATTCTTCAAGCCTTATTTCAGTACAATTTATTTGCACGAAATTTTGTGGTCAACCACCATGGTTCGCAAAGCCATATACTGAGAATTACTGACTGCTAGTTAGGAAAGTTCATTGAAGTAATATATATGATGTTGAACCTAATTGGTTCCACAAAACCAATCTAAGAAAACTTACATTATATTTTCGTCAAATTTACAGTCACAGTGATTTAGGAAGTGAAGTCAATTCGCTCAAAGGTTATGTTATGTGACGTAACTTGATAACGAGCATCTGTAAATTGAAGGTGTAGAGAATGATTCAACACTTATAACCAGAGCTTTTCAGGGACTATTGTTGATAAAAGTTGTCATTATTTTGCTATAAGCTCGTAGTGCACATGTACCAAGAAATGTGCCAGACAAAAGAAGATGCGAACGGTTTGAGCTACTAAAGAAGGAGTCACGGAATAAAAGTCCGAAAAAGAACGGTCGTAAGAAGCATATCGAGGAAGCTTTAATAATTTTGTTCACCGTCAGCGTCAATTCTAAATGGCACATGAGATCATTTATAGTCACTTGGTTTATAGGACCCCGTTGACAGATTAGCGCACTCACAATAAACTCTAAAATAGCCCATGCATCAGATATGGCGTTGTGATCAGTGCTTAGGTCCATAAGGTAACTTTCATATACACGAACTAGTCAGTCGTGAACAGTTAGGTGGGTGCATTCTTGAAGATACTCGCGACTGACAAATTTCTGATGCGAAGCGGTGGTGTTTTCTTCATGCGAATAATTGACAGGAGTAGACTTGTTAGAAAGACGTCCTACAAGCTTCTGCTACTTTCTAGAGCTATACTACCTAAGATAAAAACAGTGTGAGATTTAGTAAAATGGTTAACGCATGTAGGCTTTCTGTGAACTGACTGTCTTATTGAACCACCTCGTCGAATCAAGAGTGTAAGAATGGACTGGATAAAACCTGAATTTTCACAGTCTTTCTAATTCAATACGACAGAAGTCTAGTAAATCGCCTGTTAAATAGGATCTTGTCGAGCTCTGAAATCTGACTCCAAGTTTATATACGTGTCCAGATACACTATCGCTTATTCACAATTCCCGACACTGCTGATCCACCTGCGTCAGATAATGTAAATATCAGGAGTTAACGCGAAGTATATATCAGGATGCTGTATTGGTCAACGAGCGAGCAAAAAATCTTTATGAGTACAACTAAACAAGAAATGTTCAATGAGTTGTTACGTATATCAACACAATACAGTGAAATGAAATGCTACATAAGTCCCTCCCCTCAGAATATAGATGTAAGAGGGAATATCTGTGTTCGATATAAAATGTTATGAGAAAGGTAAATTCATTTTGAAGATATTCAAAACAGAAGGAGTGTTAGGGATATCTATTATCAGGATGGAAACTGATTAGAAGTGTCTATATAAAAATGAAGTGTATGATAGTCGAAATACTAAAATAACTTTACCAAAGTAATAATATATCCGCAGAAAAAAAAATTAACAACCAAAATCGTATTACCCGGGACATTGTTAGGAATTAAACGATTCGGAAGCCCGTGGTGCCCGGAGGAAAAGTTTTTTTTGGGTGTATGCGGAAAAGTCTGACAAAATCGTGTGGTCATGTTTTCAACAAGGTAATCAACAAAAAACGGTAATGTTACTAAGGAATTGGATTTATTATTTATTTTTTTTGTCCCTTGGGTTCCTAATGGAACATAAGGCTTCAGTAGCATGTCTCCAGTGCGCTCTGTCCTCTGAAATTTTTTGAACCTGGCTCCACGACGGCCCACAAGTTCTCATTTCCTCCTTGCACGATCTCCTCCATTTCACCCTCAGACACCCAACTCGTCGCTTCCCATCTGGGTTTCACTCGATGGCCTGGCCTGACGCGTGATGTCCCCAGTCGGCCTTCTCAGTGTATGCCCAATCCATCTCCATTTCCTTCCAATGCATATTTCTTGAGCGAGCGATAGGTTCTTGGTTGGTTCGTTCCCAGAGTGAGTTCCTTGTTGCTTATTCTTTCTGGCCCTCTGATCTTCAGTAGCGAGCGTAAGCAGTTGTTGATGTCTGTAGTTTGTTGGAAATCCCTTTCATAACGTGCCAAGTCTCTGAACCATACAGAAGCACTGATTTGACGTTGGTGTTGAAAACCCGGATCTTGTTCCACTTGCTGGGTACAGAAAATCTCCACACTGGTTTCAGGCTAATGAACGCCTGTCTTGCTTTCCGATCCTGACTTTGACATCCTCGTCTGTGCCGCCGCCTGTAGTTGAAACAGTGCTGCCTAGATAGGTGAAGGAGTCTACTTCCTTAGGTTTCTCCCGTTGATGGTGATTGGAGTTTGTTGTTGGTTGGGTATCTTCATCACTTCTCTATATTCACCTGAAGTCCCGTCTTCGCTACCTCACCTCTTCTGCCAACTTGTTAGTTTTCGACTGTATATCTTCAAGTTTGTGTGACATCAGACACAAGTCATAGGCGAAATCCAGACCTTCTAGGTTCCTTTCGGCAGTCCAGCCAGCGTATCCCCCTCTTCTCTCTCCCCACTGTTTGTTGCATGATCCAGTCCACTACAATCAAGAATATCATTGATGATAGTAGGTGGGGGCCTTGTTTCACTCCTGTCTTCACTTCAAAAGCATCACTGAGCTTCCCATTGTGAATTACTTGGCATATGGCGTCTTGTTGAATGAGGCTGATAAAGGTTTGTGGTATTCCGTAGTATTGAAGCAGTTTCCAAATTACCTCTCGGTCGACGCTGTCAAAGGCCTTCTCAAAGTCGATGAAGTTGAGGTAGAGAGTTGACTGGCATTCTATACTCTGTTCTATGATGATGCGTAGTGTCGCGTTGTAATTTGGTCTGCACATGATTTGTACTTCCTGAATCCAGCCTGTTCGAGTTGTAGTTTTGAATCCAGTGCATCCTTTAGTCTGTCCAGGATGATGCGGCCTAATATTTTGCTTGGGGTGGACAGGTGAGTGATTCCGCGCCAGTTCTTGCAAACACTGAGGTCTCCCTTCTTCGGGAGTAGGGAATTGGATTTATGAAAGGTATATTGTCTGAAAGTAACATCGTGGCCAACGGACTCTTCTTCCGGATCTTGTGGTTCTGCTACCGTCGCTAGTATTGGGTGATTCGGACGCCGTTGTTTCTGTTTTGACAGTGGTTTTCGGTGTTTCAGGTTGCTTCACCGGTATCCGTCACATGTGGTTCCATAAATGCTGGCTTGATTCTATCAATGCTGACCGTTTCTCGTCTACCCGAGCGTTCGACCGTGACAACTTTGTCTGATTTACTAATTACCTTGAAAGGTCCTTCATACGGGGGCTGTAAGGGTTTTCGTACGCCGTCGTGTCGGACAAAAACGTGAGTGCAGTTTGAGATGCACTGAGGTACGTAAACTTGGTTGTCTCGGTATCGTGGGGACTGAGGTCGAAGTGTGCTCATGTGTCGCCGTAGTTGTTGTACATAGTTAGTCAAGTCCGGTGGAACGTCTGTTGCCGGGTTAAAATACTCTCCTGGCAATCTTAAAGTAGTTCCATAAACTAACCCAGCAGCCAATGTCCTGCTTGACACTCGAACGTATACCAAGGAGTACTAGTGGTAATTTGTCACTATACTTGTCATCAGTCTTTACTGTCGATGGAACCTTTCGACAATACCATTGGATGCAGGATGGTACGCAGTGGTTCTTATGCGCTTGATCCCGAGAAGTTCAGTTAACTGTTGAAATAGACTACTCTCGAACTGCGCACCTCTATCTGTGGTGATGACACTTGGGACACCAAAGTTAGAAATCCAGTGTTGGATGATATTTCTCGCTACTGTTTCGGCAGATATATCCTGCAGAGGTATTGCCACTGGCCATCTCGTGAATCGGTCTACACATGTTAAAATGTAGCTAAAACCATTTGACGGAGGTAGTGGTCCAACGATGTCAACGTGTATATGGTCAAATCTGCCATCCGGTGGGGAAAATCTTCCCGTAGGTGAAAGAATATGTCTTTGCACTTTCGATCGCTGGCACGCTAAACAAGCTCTGGACCACTGTCGAAGATCTCGATTCATCTTTGGCCAGACGTATCGGTCAGTAATTAACTTCACCGTAGCTCGAATACCAGGATGTGAAATGCCATGCATCTTAGAGAAGACTAATCGTCTCATTGATAACGGCACAAACGGGCGCGGTTTACCCTTGGATACATCACAGGTGATGGATACAGAGTCATCAAGTGTCACTTCTTCAAGACGTAATGAGGTGTTCACATTGTTTTTCAAATGTTTCAAGTCCTCATCCGTCGCCTGCAACTTTGCCATTTCTGCTAGGTCAATACGGTCACGTTCTAAGACGTTTACGTACATACGAGACAAAGCATCAGCTGCCTCATTTTTGCTGCCTTTGATATACCTTATATCTGAAGTGAATTGTGAAATAAATTCTAAATGTCGAATTTCTCGGGCGAGTAGTTGTCATGCTTTGCATCAATTGCTTTTGTGAGTGGCTTATGGTCGGTGAATACTATAAATGAGTACCCTTCGAGCATATATCTGAAGTGCTTGATAGCCAAGTAAATCGCCAGTAGCTCTCTGCCGAATGTACTGTATCGCGATTGAGAAGCATTAAGTCGTTTCGAGAAGAAAGATAATGGTTCCCACTGACCGTGAACAAACTGTTGTAGTACTGCGCCTACCGCAACATTTGAAGCGTCTGTCATGATGGCTAGTGGTGCTTCTGAATCAACGAGAGAGAAGAGTTTCAGAACTTAGAGCCAGCTTCAGTTTGTCAAAAGCATCATGGGTCATGTGAAACACTTTGGCTCGTCCTTGCAATAAATCTGTCAGCGGTTGGGCTACTTCAGCACATTTAGGTATGAAACGTCGATAGAAGTTTATTAACCCCAGAAATCTTCGCAGCTTTCGAAACGAGTCTGGAACAGGATATTCTCGAATTGCATCTACTTCTTGCGGAACCGGTTTAACACCGTTGGCATTAACAATGTGACCCAAAAACTGTAGGGATTCCTTGCCAAATTCGCATTTCTGC